CGACCGGCACCGCGAGGGGCAGCCCAGCGAGCGCACAGGCCGCCGGTTCGAGCCCCGGCAGGGCGCTACAGGCAGGACCCCCGCCCGCTGCTGGCCGCGGGTTCGAGTCCCCGTGCCGCGGGTTCGTTCTGGCCGCTCAGAAAACTGGGAAAGAAAGTTTTGGAACCAGAGCTAGGCACAGAAAACGGACATTGCTTTATTGCCTCGCAGCGGGCTTTGGGGTGTCTCTCTGTCACCCCCACCGAGGTGCTCACTTCTGTAGATTACACACAGTTTGCTGCACAAGTGTGTTTTTTTTGTGTTCCAAAAACTTGACACCCGTTTCCAGAAAGCCTTCTGCACACGCAAATCGATGTCACAGCTCCTTCTTACTGCCCATGCATACAAGTGCCCTTTCACCCTCAACTGGGACCAGCTGATGTCCAGTGTAATAAATGGAATTAATTCCTCCTAGCTGAATTGTAACTGTTATTAAAGCTCTTATTAGAAGGAACCAAAAGAATCAGTGTCTCAAGGCAGATGCACCCCTTTACAGATTTTACCTGTTTAAATTGAGGTACAGGATGTAGTTTGGAAGATAAGTGATGTACCAAGATGAAAACGGCCTTGAGACGGACAGAATTAGAACGACTTTAGGCATTGGGCCTAAAAATCAGTAAATATCAGACTAATGAGTAGAGTAACATAACACAACACACACAAACCTGTAAGGTTATCCAAAGGACAACGAGGAAGAGGAGAAGCCTTCACCAAAAGACCCCCAAAAGAAGACTGAAGACCCCCTAACAACAAGTGGAACATGTGCCGTGAAGAAAAGTGACGTAAAGTCAGAAAAATTGGAAATAGGAGGAAACTTACAAGAAATATTAATGAATACGTATAAGCATACAGTATACAAGTTTAGCTTGAAGTGCTTTGTTTTGTACATGAGGCAGGGTGGGAAGCCTCCGTACCCCAGTTAGTTTTGCTTATGCTTTAATCATACTTAATTACTGGCTGATTATATATATAAACTGTAATTTTTTGCTAAATTATATTCTTTTACTAAACTGTATTCTTTTATACCAAATTACTATTCGATGTACTAAATTGTATTAGTTTTTAATTAAACTGCCATTAACCCAAGTGATCTAGTTGTCAAAATTCTAATTTCATTTATAACATTTCCAGCCTCAATGGTTCTGTGAAATGGTTTGAGTTGGGAGGGACCTTGAGTCACGTCCAGCCCCATCCAGCCTGGCCTGGGACACTGCCAGGGATCCAGGGACATTGTGACTTTAATTCCTGCACTGCCTCTGAGCAGATCTGCACAGAGCAAAGTCCTGCCACAGAAACGAGCTTGTATTTCTCCTTTTTGAAAGCTGCCAAACTGCATCCATCCAAATCATGAACATTCCCTTCCCTTTTGGGAATGGCTCTGAAGAGGCAGTAATTAGATATAAACACATCTTTTTTAACACAGCCTGTGCTCAGGGCTTAAGTGGAAAATATATATTTGTGTGTTTGCATAGGGATGGTTTTACAGTCAATCTTTATAGAATAACTAATTTAAAAAATTTGAAATATTATAAAAATCCAACCTCCCCCTGCAAAAGAAGCAATCCCAAACAAAACCATAAACTCCATCAACACTTTGAGGAGAAAACATTGCTGTTATAAAAGACAGCTTTTGAAGATGCAGTTCTGATGATGGAATGCAGTTGTCTTGCATTCCAAAAGTCTAATTTCTTTTCAGGTACCAAAACCATTTTGTCTTTGTGAAAATGCTGCAGCTTTGCATTACAAAGTTAGGAATATCAGGAATACGCTAAAGCTGATTAGGACGGCAGTTGGTGAACACAACATAAATATACCATAACAAACCAGCATTTACTGGATCTATTAATGAGTGTTTATTAAATAAACGTATTTATTTATGAATAAATAATTTTTATTTAAATGAATGAGTGAGATTGTGCAGGCTCAGGTAGCCTCAAGGCGTGTCCCTGGAAGGTATCCCATGGCAGGGGGTTGGAGCACGATGACCATCAGTGTCCAACCCAAACCATTCTGTGATTCTGCAGAGAGTCTGAGGGTCTCTTCCTTTTTGCAGAACTCCCCTCCTGGGCACAGCCCTCAGGGCACTGTGGGCAGCTGTTCTCTTTGGAGAATGCTGCCAGATAAGCGCTTCTAAAATTAAATGTCTCGGTTGGCCAAGCAGACAAATCCACCCAAAATCCCACCACTTATCCTGAAACTCCGGGTATAATCTGATCTCTGGTGCTGGTGTCCCGTGGCGCTGCACAGCCAGGGACAGCTGGGCTGTGACACACACTGGGATTTTGGTGGAGGTTTTTTTGTGGGGTAGTTTCCCCCCTGACCCTTCCCTGATGGTGGAGGAAGGCCTGGAGTCTGCACGGGGATTTCTCAGGGATGGGATCCTTTGGGGATGTGGGACCCAAAAGGGTAATCCCAGAATCCCAGATTATTTTGGGTTGGATGGAACCCTAAATCCCATCCTGCTCCACACCCAGGCACAGCAGGGCCAGCTCGCAGTGTCCCAGGAGCTGCCAGCCCCAATGTCCAGCCTGGCCTTGGGCACTGCCAGGGATCCAGGGGCAGCCCCAGCTGCTCTGGGCACCCTGTGCCAGGGCCTGCCCACCCTGCCAGGGAAGCAGAGAAGAGTTGTAAAAGGATTAATTTGTGTATCCTAACCCAGGAGGATGCAGAAGGGCTTTTTGGCCCAGTTAGTCTCCCAGAGGGAGGATTGTGTGGGAACTGAGACAAGATTTTTGTGTATTTTAAGGCCATTTTTCTGTCTGTGTTTCCGTAGCATTGTCAGTGCACTGTGGATCAGAGCAGCAGTGATATATTAGATTAAAAAGTGATGTGTTCAGTGCTGATACCTGTAAAGTGGCTGACACCTCACACTTTGGCTGATTTAGGAAGTTTTGTGGTGACCTGGTATGGCACTGGGAGGTGACTACAAACAGCTGGAAATGATTTGTGCAGTGTGTGACGCAGCCACAGGGGTAAATTATCCATCTTTGTGGCATGCAAACCCAGCCTGTGCACAATGGGTGCAGCACAGCTGTTGTCCCAGGGTCTCCAGGAGTGTCCACCTGGTCACTCTGTGTGACAGGGGGTGGCTGGACAGCGGTGACACACCGGGGTGGGCAGGGTGACACGTCCTACCTGTCCCTCTGTGACTGCTTCACTGCCCTGGCAGAACTGTGAGCCTTTGCACTGATTTGAACTGAGTATAATTACCTTTCATGTGAGGTAGACTGAAAAAAAAAAAAGAAAAACAAAAAAACTCCAAAACATTGTTTAAAGTGCAATAAGAGCTGCATTTCCTCCTTCCTGGGGGTGGGAATGTCTGGGCTGCATCGGTAGGAGATGGGGAACAGACAAGTGTCACCTTGCTGCTTGGTCATCAGAGGAGAAGTTCTTCATCCAGAGTAACCAAAAACCCACACCTCATCTCCACATGAGGGGGGAAGAGATGATAAGCTGCAGTTTTAACCCTTTCACTGGGAATACCAGACACTTTCAGCCTGGCAGAGCCCATCTTGCAGGCTGCAAACAAAAGGGCAAGAGGGAACGGCCTCAGGCTGGGCCAGGGGAGGCTCAGGGGGGACAGCAGCAGGACTGGAGGTGCCCAAGGAATTCCTGGATGTGGCACTCAGGGCTCTGGGCTGGGGATGAGGTGGGGATGGGGCACAGCTGGACTCCATGGGCTGGGAGGGATTTTCCAGCCTCAGTGGTTCTGGGATTCTGCTGACTTCCCACTGACTTTTCGCTACAGGTGGTTTATTTCTTCATTTTTGTGGCCACAAAAAGTTCAAGGATGAAGATTTTTCTGGTTGATTTCAACACAAACCAGACAAAAATACAACAGAAATTCAGAAAAGGAATCACAAGAGCTCCCCTAACCATGCCCTTGCCAGGACTGCTGCATGCAAGGCTCCACTCAGAATTTCTTACAAAGCCCAGTAATTCAGAGATGCTGATTTTGTCATCATTCTGCACCAGAACGAAGATCTAATTTCTTTTCAGGTACCAAGTGTGTTTGTTTATGTGTGAACCTCATAAAAAAGCAGCATTTTAAAGAAATTTTGAATTGTTGTTATTATTGGCAAGAGTCATGGGGTGAAGAAAGGCTTTTATTCTTGCTCTTTGCTTCACCAAGATTTCAGCTGATTACTGATTAGGGATTTCCTATCAGTACCCCTAGCATCAATGTAGAGCGAGGAAGTCAGGAGATTTTCACTGATTTATTCTGGTTTAACCTATGCTGGCAGTTTGGTGTTTTCTGGGCTGTCTGCAACCTGCCCATTTTTTCTGAGCAATTTGGCAGTACTTTTTCTGAGGTGAAATGGTGGCCCAAGCAAGCAGGTATTGATAAATTGATGAATGGAAACACGGGGGGTGGAAGTGCAGCTAAAAGGTGCATTCATTTGTCACTGAGCATCATCTGGGGTTCAGCCTGTGCTGACTTCATCCGCGGCCATGTATTGTTTATGATACTTTCTTGCACTTTGCTGCCCTCAAAGGACACATTTTTCCTTCTTTTGGCCCCTACTGGTTTGTTTTTCAGAGGTTTAATTTTTAGCTTTTACTCCCAAGTGGGTGAGGGATGCTTGGGAAATGGATGCATGTGGATCAAATCTCCAGGCACCACCAGAAGGCCTCTCTGTGCCTTTCCCTCTGTTTATTTAGGAGCCAGGGGTGCTGAGGCATTGAACAGTGACATTGAACAGTGTTCAGAAAAGTGTGTGACACTTCTGTCCCTTCCCAGGGCTGCTTACATTTTTTAACTGAGCCATGTGTCCGTTCTGCTGTAGGTGCTCTGACTTTAGCATCATGCATTGCTGGTGCTTCTCAGAAAATTTAGGGTTTATCTTCAAGTGGTTTTTGCTTAATCCTACATTCCTTCATCTCATTTTTCAATCTGGGATTCTCACATAAGTATCTTTACTCCTCCTTAAATTGGATAGAAGCCGCTCGACTGAGGACAAGCTGTTGGGGGATTTCTCAGATGGGCAGATACCCTCTGCATCCCAGAAGGAGAAATTACTTAAGATGGCAAATCCTTTCTAATGGTTACAATGCTAAAGCCCTAATCCTTCTCTAAGATCTGGAATGCAACAGGCAGGAGCTCCTAATCAGCAAAGTGAAGCTCCACTGATGGTGCCATCAGCAGGGAGCAGGACAGGACTGGGTGTCCGATGCCTGCAGATTGGTGTATGGCTGTGTCCTGCCTGATATCTAAGGGTTTTGGAACTAGATGATCCCTAAGGTCCCTTCCAGTCCAAACCATTCTATGAGTCTGTGATTCTTAGGGGTACCAGCGTGTCTGACCCACAAATCCCTTGGGGATGACCCAGAGCCAGCCCCTGTAGTCAGCGATGTGTGGGGGCTTTGGTGTCCCCACCTGGCAGCCCAGAAACACAGACACTGCCATTCTCTGGGCATTTCACAGCTGTGGCCTGGCCTAGAGCTTCCCACTGCCAGGGGATGGGATCTTGGGCAGGAATTGTTCCCTGGCAGGGTGGGCAGGCCCTGGCACAGGGTGCCCAGAGCAGCTGGGGCTGCCCCTGGATCCCTGGCAGTGCCCAAGGCCAGGCTGGACATTGGGGCTGGCAGCTCCTGGGACAC